TTGCGTTATTTTCAATTTGAAAAAATTTATTTCGAAGTTTTGTTTAAACTGATTTTTTAAAGTGTGCGATTTAAGCGAAACGAAATTCAGTTCACACATCTATAAACGATTCTTAATAAGACTGCTGATTTAGATTTGCGTTATTTTCAATTTGAAAAAATTATTTTTACAGTTTTGTTTAAACTGCTGTATTTTATAAAGTGTGCGATTTAAAGCGAAACGAAATTCAGTTCACATATCTATAAACGATTCTTAATAAGACTGCTGATTTGATTTGCGTTATTTTCAATTTGAAAAAATTTATTTCGACAGTTTTGTTTAAACTGCTGTATTTTTTAAAGTGTGCGATTTAAAGCGAAACGAAATTCAGTTCACATATCTATAAACGATTCTTAATAAGACTGCTGATTTGATTTGCGTTATTTTCAATTTGAAAAAATTATTTCTGACAGTTTTGTTTAAACTGCTGTATTTTTTAAAGTGTGCGACTTAAAGCGAAACGAATTCAGTTCACATATCTATAAACGATTCTTAATAAGACTGCTGATTTAGATTTGCGTTATTTTCAATTTGAAAAAATTTATTTTGACAGTTTTGTTTAAACTGCTGTATTTTTAAAGTTGCGATTAAAGCGAAACGAAATTCAGTTCACATATCTATAAACGATTCTTAATAAGACTGCTGATTTAGATTTGCGTTATTTTCAATTTGAAAAAATTATTTTTGACAGTTTTGTTTAAACTGCTTATTTTATAAAGTGTGCGATTTAAAGCGAAACGAAATTCAGTTCACACATCTATAAACGATTCTTAATAAGACTGCTGATTTGATTTGCGTTATTTTCAATTTGAAAAATTTATTTTTGACAGTTTTGTTTAAACTGCTGTATTTTATAAAGTGTGCGATTTAAAGCGAAACGAAATTCAGTTCACACATCTATAAACGATTCTTAATAAGACTGCTGATTTTGATTTGCGTTATTTTCAATTGAAAAAATTTATTTTTGACAGTTTTGTTTAAACTGCTGTATTTTTTAAAGTGTGCGACTTAAAGCGAAACGAAATTCAGTTCACATATCTATAAACGATTCTTAATAAGACTGCTGATTTAGATTTGCGTTATTTTCAATTTGAAAAAATTTATTTTTGACAGTTTTGTTTAAACTGCTGTATTTTTTAAAGTGTGCGACTTAAAGCGAAACGAAATTCAGTTCACATATCTATAAACGATTCTTAATAAGACTGCTGATTTAGATTTGCGTTATTTTCAATTTGAAAAAATTCATTTTTGACAGTTTTGTTTAAACTGCTTATTTTATAAAGTTTGCGATTTAAAGCGAAACGAATTCAGTTCACACATCTATAAACGATTCTTAATAAGACTGCTGATTTAGATTTGCGTTATTTTCAATTTGAAAAAATTATTTCTGACAGTTTTGTTTAAACTGCTGTATTTTTTAAAGTGCGACTTAAAGCGAAACGAATTTCAGTTCACACATCTATAAACGATTCTTAATAAGACTGCTGATTTAGATTTGCGTTATTTTCAATTTGAAAAAATTTATTTATGTCAGTTTTGTTTAAACTGCTGTATTTTTTAAAGTTTGCGACTTAAAGCGAAACGAAATTCAGTTCACATATCTATAAACGATTCTGAATAAGACTGCTGATTTAGATTTGCGTTATTTTCAATTTGAAAAAATTTATTTATGTCAGTTTTGTTTAAACTGCTGTATTTTTTAAAGTTTGCGACTTAAAGCGAAACGAAATTCAGTTCACATATCTATAAACGATTCTTAATAAGACTGCTGATTTAGATTTGCGTTATTTTCAATTTGAAAAAATTTATTTCTCACAGTTTTGTTTAAACTTCATTATTTTATAAAGTGTGCGATTTAAAACAAAACGAATTTCAGTTCACACATCTATAAACGATTCTTAATAAGACTGCTGATTTTGATTTGCGTTATTTTCAATTTGAAAAAATTTATTTCTGACAGTTTTGTTTAAACTGCTGTATTTTTTAAAGTTTGCGATTTAAAGCGAAACGAAATTCAGTTCACATATCTATAAACGATTCTTAATAAGACTGCTGATTTAGATTTGCGTTATTTTCAATTTGAAAAAATTTATTTTCGACAGTTTTGTTTAAACTTCTTATTTTATAAAGTGTGCGATTTAAAGCAAAACGAATTACAGTTCACACATCTATAAACGATTCTTAATAAGACTGCTGATTTTGATTTGCGTTATTTCTAATTTGAAAAAATTTATTTGTGTCAGTTTTGTTTAAATTGCTTTATTTTTTAAAGTGTGCAACTTAAAGCGAAACGAAATTCAGTTCACACATGTATAAACGATTTTCAATAAGATTGCTGATTTGGATTTGCGTTATTTTAAATTTGGGGAAAAACTTGAACTTTCGATTTTTTCACTTACGACGCGAGCGATCGACGTACTATCATTTTCGGTATTTAAAAAATTAATTTTTATAGTCAGCTGTCAGATTGACATTAATATTTATTCAAAACACATTTTCAAGTGCGTTCAAAGTCTTTAAGCGAAGATAGATCGATGTGCAAGCGAAAAATTTAAAAGTGACAAGCTTTAAGATATGTGATATATACATGCTCAGTCGTGTTTAGAATCGTTTTTTGTGGTTCGGGACATTCGCCTTCGAATGTTTAAATCGATGTAGAAAGCAGAATTTAAAACTCTTGAAATTTGAAAAAATTCATTTACGACAGTTTTGTTTAAACTGCTGTATTTGTTAAAGTGTGCGACTTAAAGCGAAACGAAATTCACTTCCCACAATTAGAAACGATATTAAGTGATACTGCGTATTCGGATTTGCTTTATTTTAAAGTTGGGTCACAATTTTAAATTTCGATATTTACATTGACGAGGCTTGCGATCGAAATGCTGTCGTTTTTCGTATTAATAAATTAATTCTTTCAACTCAGGTTCCACATTTACAATAAAATATTTAAGACACGAAATTTTCAAGTGCGAATAAAAATCTTTAATTGAAGGTAGATCAATGTCGAATTTGTACGAAAAATTTAAAATGTGTCAAATTATAAGATATTCAAAATTCACATGTTCAATATCGTTTAGAGTCGATTCTTATTGTTTAGAACATTCCCAATCGAAAAATATATCTATGGAAAAAGCAGAATTCGACAATCTTGAAATTTGAAGAGAATCAACTTTGACAGTTTTCTTTAAACTACTGTATTTTCTAAAGCGTACAACTACAAGCGAACCGAAAATCACTTCCCACAGTTAGAAACGTTATTAAATAATACTGGGTATTCGGATTTGCTTTATTTTAAAGTTGGCTCACAATTCCAAATTTCGATTTTTACATTGACGGGGCTTAAATTGCGATCGAAATGCTGTCGTTTTCCGCATTGAAAAATTAATTGTCTAAACTCAGGTGCCACATTTAGGTAAATATATTAAAAACACGACATTTTTAAGTGCGATTAAAATTTTATAGCAAAATTTAAGAAAAATTATAGTGTCAAACTTTAAAATATTTTAAATTTAAATGCTCAGTTTTGTTTAGAATTGATTCTTATTGTTTAGAACATTCTTAATTGAAAAATATATTTATGGATAAAGCGAAAATCGTAATTCTTGAAAATTGAAGAGTATTAACTTTTACAGTTTTCTTTAAACTACTGTATTTTTTAGAGCGTAGAACTACAAGCGAAATTAAAATCACTTCAAACAACTATGATCGATTTAAAATAAGAATGGGAATTCGTATTTGCGTTATTTAAAGTTTGGTGATGGTGTTAGTTTTGAACTTACAGTTTTTTACATTTACGACGAGAAGAATCGTGATATTATCAAATCTTTAAAAAAATTTTCTTTTCTTGGATAGAATTACTGCAATGACTTTTTTTAATTATATATGTATTATTAAGAATTAATATTAGGAAAATAAATCTTGTCTGAATAAAAGTAATACTAATATTATTGAAAATACAATTTTTATTAATAAAAGTAATAGTATTTTTATGTAAAATAATATTAATATTAAAAATAAGATTAATACTTAGTAGGAATTAAGTGGGATAGTGCAATGGTAATCGTCAGTTCGTGTGAACTGGCGTTGGACTAGGCGTGCATTCTGGTACATGGGGGAAATAAAAAATATATATGGAGGTATAACTAACATTACCAATATTTTCTGGCGAATTTGGTAAGGATGGGGCGGAAACACCGCAAATTGGATCAGTCGGGTAAAAGTTATGTGTAAAACAGTTCTTACCCGGCTGATGAACAGAAGTGGAAGGGTTGCTTTTTGCACCCGGGGGGAGGGTTTAGTGGGTAGTGGGCGATGAAGCTATGTCAAAATGCACATGGTGGAGCTTGAGTCCCACATAACCCCGGGACCGATCCCGGGGTAGTAATAAAGAGTGCTTCCCTCCTCCCGCGTCGATTGGAAAAAAAAAAAAAAAAAAAAAAAAAAAAAAAAAACTTAGTTGGAAAAACATAACTAATGTTAGGAAAATAATACTAATATTAGAAGGTATTTATTCTTGGCTTGTTCTAAAGTATTAAATGTTAGTAATATAAATCCATGAAATTGCGCAAGTGTAGCGCGCGGTGATCGATGTAAAAAATTAAGTAACACATATTTTATTGAGAAGTTATTTTTTTTTTTTCAATTTAGAATGTTTCTCTATTTATTATCGTAATGCGTAGATAAAAATAATTATTATAATATTGATAAAGTGAACAAAATAGTTCGTTTTTCGATACTTCTATATCCGAGGAAGGTGAGAGAGAGAGCATGTGCGATAGGAAAGTTACCATAAACCGAGTCTTCTTCGCGAGAGAGATCCGGCGACGTCACGCCAGATAACGCCACGCGGCCGGTTCTCCAGGTCAAACAGCCCGCGGCGCCTCAACCAATCAGCGCGCCGGATTTTCGGCGGCGCCGCTGCGGACGCTGGCGCTCGTTCGCATTTGCGACAGTCTCGCGACGAGATGTCCTCCGCGGTGGACTTGTCCGCGTTACGGTTTCGCGTTCTCCCTGATTTTACGACGAGCGACCCGTTGTCCGGTGACCAGGATCGTCCGCGCCTCGTCGTCGACGTGCTCGTCGTGGAATCGAGTCGTCAGATTGCGCCGACAACTCGATAAGAGGACAGAGAACGACGCGGAGATTCTCCCGAGTGAACGAACTCTCTTCTCTCTCTCGGAAGCGGCGCGCCCGAATTCTAACGCGTCCTCGCCGGCCGCGGAGGCTGCGAATCTCTGCGGCGCCACCCGATCCGAGGCGACGCGATCACGTGGCTGGGCTGTTCTCCGTTTGTCCTCTCCTCCGAATCTCTGTTTACTCCCGTTCGATCTCGTGTGCGCGCGCGAACGCACAAGTGCGGGAATTGATGAACAGTGTAGCAGCGAGAGAGCGACACGTCGGAATCGGGATGTGACGGGTTTATTCTCTTCCATGGAGCCCGGAGAGGGCTGCCTGTCTACGTCGAGGAGACGCAGAGGAGACGGTGAGATCGTCGTCGGCGCGGCAATAAAAGTGAGTGTACACTATTGGATTTATTACCGTTGTTTATATATGCTTCTCGGTCGCGGGTGATTACGTCACGCTCACGTGACACAATCGCGTTGGCGAGAGATAACGCGATCGGGTGAGGAAGAGAGAAAGGGTTGAAATTCTTTCGAAATGTCAGGCACTTTCGTATGGATGATATTTAACTAGTGTCTCGCACACAAATGTATATGTCATAAATATTGCATAGAAGTAAAATGATGATTGATACAAAGGATTATATAAGAGAGAACAATGTATAGTAACTTGGGATTATCTTACTTTTCCTAGAAATCATTTGTCAATCTTGGTTTGCATTTCATAATAATTGAAATATTTTTTTTCTTATCTCTTTTTCTCTCTGTTTTGTGAAGATTTTAAAATCATATTAAATGCTGGCGTGCACGTACTTGGTTACATATCGTTTTGTTTTTGAAATTAAATACGACAGCAAAGTTAATGTGCCGAAATTATGCGATTCATTCGTTTAACGACGCCCATATATATGTATATACACGTACGAAAATACACAAATCGCGCATTGTGCATTTAATACACAACATGGGCTAATGATGTAGGAACAAGTTTGCCAATTAGCAATTTATTGCTTAAAACAAAATATCATGATAATTGCGGGATTGTAATTTTGCATTAAGAGCCTGGTACAAATTTTCAAATACAATTATTTTTCATTTCAAATCAAAATTTGCACATTTCGTGTAAAATTGGAAAATTTAAAATGGTTCAATTGGTGCAATTTTTAATTTTGAGTTTGTACAACGTTCGTACATATCGCGTTTTTTTCGAGATTTTTATTTGTAAAAAAATTAACAAAAAAATGTGGTTTTACTACATAATTTTAAAAAATTTTTACTTTCATTTTTTAATGTAATTTTTTTTAAATCGTGATAAAAATTGTTGATTAAAATTTTTTTATGTAATTTTTTATAAACGTAATGAAATTTTTTGCAAGCAAATATATTTTGTTTAACATAAATAAATAATAATAAATTTCAACTATATAAATAATATTAAGTTATTATATATATTACGCTCTATTTTCAGATGTAAAGATGGAACTTCGGGATTTAATTGAAATTTGTTTTGCGCGCTAATATATTTTTCGAAATATGTGTAATAATGTCTTTTCGCGAACAAATATTCTATTTGCGTTATAATTAGATAATTGTTAGATATGTGTTACGGTGAACATACATTGCCAAAGCAACAATAAGCGATCGCTTTCATGACAAGTGACCGTGACAACGTCACGGTTATAGTTGTTGGTCGCACATAATGTATTGAAATCGCTCGTAAGATCGTCGAAACAACGGCCGTTATCAGGCACGTGCGCCTATGATTAATCGGTTGTCTCGATTATTATGTATTGGAACTGTCTAAATCGAACGTCACGTTTGATATTGTCCGAGCGTTTCCCGATGTTTCTCTCATCGATCCCTCTTCGATATTATCCCGGAATATAATACAATTACGACCGGCTATCTCTCTCTCTCTCTCTCGATTCTCGAATGATTTCGATACAAACCGAAGCGCATGATACTCGGCCATTAAAATGTTGCAAATTATTATTCGACCGATATTCTATGCGTACATAAATTGGTTCGGATAACCGCTCTTTGTTTTTCACAGTCTTTTTTGTTCAAATTATTTTCATGTATCGGATATGATTTCAACATTGATTTTCGCCGCGTGGTTCAAATAATACGAAAATAGAAACTCGAATTTCACTATGCTTTCTAAAGCAAAACAGACGCGCAAGAAAATATCAGTTTATTTTTATAACAATATTACGAAAATTCATTATTTCTCTTAATTTATTACAGTAAATTTAATAATATCGCGTATATTTACCAAGTATTATTAAAACATTCTTGCATTTTGTACTGGATTAGTTAGACGTTTGATTAATTACATTTTTTTTTATCTTCTATTTTTAAAATATTTTAATACATGCAAACACATATCCAACATTGTCTGTTATATCATTATAGTATCCTCGAGAGAATTTGTTTTTAATTAATTAATTGCATGTTACAAGGATGTTATTAGCGTCGTATTACTTTATTCACTGTTTTGATCTAACTTTCCTCTCAAACATTAAATTTTGCGATATACACACAACCATTTAATCATTTTTTATTTGGGGCATATAATATATAAGTTCTATATGAAAAAAAATTATATGAACAGAAGTGTGTATTGTGGAATAATTGAAAAATATTACTTATTAAAGAGCAATACATATTAAAATAATTAATAAAAATATATATGTATATTTATATATTTATATATATATATATATATATATATATATATAGTTATTTATGTTATATACATATATATACATATGTATATTTAAATTAAATAATTATGCGTACAATGAAGAAAAATTATTTTTGTACAATTCTCGGATAGTATAACAATAACATGTAATAGTATTAATGTTATTTGCAATGGCTGAAAATATTTAAAAATATTTTTTTCCCATGCCTATTTATATATTGTACAATATAAAACGCCGTGTCAGTAAAGCGGATCAATATTGTTTTCTTATTTCCGTCGTCGACAGAGAACTCGCTTCCGCGGTTGCTTCGATGTAATTTAATCAGGGATGCAATTCCATCGAAGAGAACCGACTCGCGTCGAATCGACAGACAAGGAAAGTTTGCTTTGACGGAGGATTACTTAATCATGGAACTTATCTCTCTTCCCCTCCTATTTTTTCGCATTTTTGAACAGTTTTCTTTTCGTGGCACCAAGCACAAAAAATTAAGCATATACAAGAGAGCTCGCCGAATCATTTGTTAACGATAATGTTCTCGTAACTGAAAGTTATCGACTTGGTATAATTCGCGAATGTAACAAAGACAGAATGTAACAAAGACGCTGAAATCTTTCGTTATTTCTCGCAGATGTAATGCTCGACACTTTGGCATAATTGATGTCTCTCGCAAACTATTACGACGTAGCGATTGAAGGAGTTATGACAAGCTCTTATGAGAAGTGAATTAATCTCGTGAATTATTAGTCTGTAGATAAAGCGTTTATAGTATGAAAAGCATTAATTAACTTTTACAATTATGGAATTCAGTATGAAATCTAATTATAAAATTTGTCTATTTACTATAAAAGAAATATTTTTTATAAGTTTAGTAAAAATTTTAATAAGAATAATAATAAATATGTAATTAAATATATATATATATATATATATTTCATTTTAGCAACAAATATATAAAGAACAGTTAGAGCATATTATACATATAGTTGTACGTATAGGTATGTATATAGTTTATATTTTTATTTAACGTTTCTTTATTAATTGATTTTTCTTCAAAAATATATTACAGCCTTGACCTCGAAGGTTTTTCAATTTCTATTTTCCGAATCCACGATAAATTTGAAAATTCCTGCATTTTATTTCAGTTAACTTTGCCGATATACGGCTAACCTACCTATTTTCACGTATAGTTTATGCATAAAGTTTTTCTCCTTTTAGTGAGATTTTAATTTTGATCGATTACTCTTCTCGGTTCTTTACTGCTGTTCTTGTAACCTTGAGTTTTTTCGAACATTTAAATATAGAGAGAACAGTATAGTGTCAAAAATACACGTCTCTCCGTCGAAGCATTGTACATTTATATCAAATAATATCGAAATTTTTTGATGCACACTCGATTTATTTAACGCAGATACTCGAGATGCATTCTTCCTCATGTTCTTTCTCAAACTAAAGATGCTAAAATTATTTCAAGAGGTACAGTCTCGCTAGAGATAATTTTTTTATTTTTTATTTTGCAATTGAATATTTTGTATAATATATTTAAAGCTATATTAGATAAATCTCATTGTCAGAAAGTTCTTTTTAAAATTATTACGAAAATCCAGTATAACAGTTTCGTATTTTTATTTGCTCACGGAATTTTGCGAGATTCAAAGATTTGTAAGGTAAAGTATAAAATGTTATATCACATATTCCCTCTTTCTCTTTCTCTCTCTCTCCCTCTTTCTGTCGGCGGAAAGTAATTAGAAGTTCATTGCGCGTCTATTGTTGAGAAAAACTTTTCTACTGTGAGAGAGATTACGTTAAGATTCTTCCATTGCCGAGATCGCGTTTCCAACATTTCCCGTATTAGTGCTAATTTTTTCCTCCTCTACGAAAGATGGTTGGTGGGAAACATGGTGAAACTCGATCGACCCTTGAACTTTTCCGCGATTACACGTGTCTTCTCGACGACTCTTGCAGTGTTATTACGAGCTTAGCATGAACAACTTGTCGAGGAGAACTAATCTATAAATGTATGTGCGATTTTTTTACACCGATAAACTAGATACAGCAAATAATATAATACAAGAGTTTTGAGGATATTAAAAAGAAATAAAAATAAAAGGACTAATTTATTTTTTTATTTAAATTCTTAAATTATTTGTGTTTCTTGCAAACATAAAATACGTTATGGTGAATATCGTATAATTTAAAAATTAATATTGAATAATTAAATAATTTCGATATACACAAATGTTGAACAATTAGGAAATTAATTGATTTCTGAAGTAATTGAATTGTGGAAATATGTTTTTAGTTTTATTACTTACTATTTTTGAAAATATTTTCTTATTTACTTTCACATAATTTATCGCTTTTCATTGTAATCTTTTTACAAAACGAACCGGTTGATCGTAAAAAGCAAAACAATCAAAATTGAACAAAGGCTTGCTCTATCAAAAATTGATAAAACGGAAGATGAGAGTGTAATATGCAGGCGAATGGACGTTCACCCGATATCGCGCCTCCAGCAAAACAGGAAGATAATTAACATAGAAAATTCCATCCAATTTACCACAGTATTCTTTCGCAAGTTTGTCAATATATTCTCGACAAACTTGCGAGTTCGCCGTTCAGGAAATTCCAGACAGAAGATTCAGATTAAGTACGCAGAAAGTTTCTTAAGAGCCGTTAACAGGAA